ACAGGCAGCAAAAATATAGCTTTATACTCAAATTTAGTAATTATTTTAATATTCTGATGTAATGAGGTACTATTATATCTATAAATATGTACTATTATATGTATAAATGTAAAAGAATTTGAAATAAATGGGGTTACCCAGTTGGGGCCTGAAAAAAAAAAAAAAAAAAAAAAAAAAAAAAAAAAAAAAAAATAGTGCAAAGTGCGCTAATGTTAACATTACACTATAGGTGATTCAAAGAAAAATGACTCGTTTTAACTTTAAACCATTAATATTTCGAATGTTGAATATTATGTTCGTGTAGATTCAATACTAAATTTATTGAACTTGTGGGATAAAACAATGTTATGCTTGCCAGAGGCTCACATGATATGATTTTATTCAACTCGTTAAATAAATTGAATATTAAATCTACACTTATTCAATTTCCTCTATGATTTTACTGCATTCCGATCACAAGGCAAAATAGCTCGGTGGTAAAGCAAAAGGGTATGTGGTTTCGAGCACACCTAGTTTCCATTCTTTGTTCTATCTTGACGGAAATTTGTGTGTTTGTTTATGTAAAATGTCTTTCTACTATTTTCCTCTTAAACGTCATTGTAAATCTGTTAATGTGCAGCAATGACAGCAGCACTGATACAATCATTAAAACCGAAATTCTGTAACAACGACATCTTAGTGCAATAACAGGTTATTTCCTGTTAGTTTTAATAGCAGTCAACCCGTTACTGCACAAAGGTGACAAAATGTTGAAATGATTTTGTATTGATGTAATATGTGACAATTAATATGATAAATTATCATAAAATGATAAAATATGATAAAAGAAATTTTAAAGGAAATGAAAAAAAAATTATTTTTTTTAAAAAAGATTAAAGGAAATAGTAAAAAAATACAATACACTTCAAGAGAAGAAACCCTAATACAACATGTATAGACAACATAGCAGGAATATTAATTATTCCCAGTCTAAAAAAAAATGATAGAAATTTTTTTAAGAAATACAAGAAAATAGTATAGAAACGTAATACTCTTACAAGAGAAGAAAAAGTAATGTAGGCAAAATCATGAGTAGGGATATCCTAGTCTTAAAATAGCATGTTCAACCATAGATTATTGTACGTAAAATATGCAGATTTAAATTTTTTTGCAATAAAGAACTCTTATGATAATGAAAAAGAACGTGACCATTTTACGATATTTTATGAAACAATAAATTTTTTTGTCAAGATTTATCAAATTTTAGAAAAAAGATTATTGGACAATATCTGAAATTTTGTGAAAGAATATATACGTTAAAGTCTTAACCTATTTAATGCTAGTTGTGGTGATGACTTCCCATAACATTTATTTCAGTCATTACAATACTGCATGTTTGTAATGTCGCTTTTCAACTGGATAATTGTGACGTTTATATTATTAGAAAGATTTTTGACAGGCTATATGGCCCTATATAAACATTGATTGGATGTAGTATATAGCTTGGGTTATATTGGAAACAACCGTTTACATATATGGCCATATAACCTTTCAAGAATCTATATAACAAATTTATAATACAGCAAACTTCCTTTTTTGTTTTTGAGGAAAAAAGAAGAGATTTCTTCAAAAATTGATGGCAGCAGTAAATATAAAACTATTTATAAACGTCACAATTATCCAATGATTATCCAATGAACAGTGTCATTACAAACATGCAGTATTAAAAAGATTTATGTACATGGCTGCTGTTAATTTTTGAAGATATCTCACTTTTTTTCTCTAAAAAACTAGAAATGTGTCATCATGCCACGGATGCCCCCGCATGCAGCCAAAATTTCAAATGTTATAATATTTAGTTCCAAATTTGTTTGTACAAATTATTTTTTTCATTCTATGTTCAAAGCCCTTAAAACTTTTCAATGTTAACACAAACCATTTTTATACAATGTTCAAGGCACTGAAATTATTCAGTCTTAACCTTTTGAAAATAGCATTTTGCATATTTGTAGCCAAAATAATGGCTATATACATTTCCACAAAAGTATGAGTGCTGAAACTGAAAGTTCAAAATTTTTCCAACATTCAGGAAAGATAAGTTTGTCCAAAATCATTGAACAACGACCAAATTCCAACTTAAACTGCTTATTCCTAAGATGTATCTATATTATTTTCAAAGTGAAAGGGACATAACTCTGCCAAAAAATCATCGAACCATGACCAAATTCCAACTTGACCTGCGCGTTCCTTTGACATATCTATATGTCAATTTTGAGTTGAATATGTAACACTGTTGGGTTGATAATGAACAGAAACTGTAAATTTCATATCATTTTCAAAGTGAAAGGGGCATTACTCTGCCAAAAATCATTGAACCATGACAAAATTCGAACTTGGCCTGGGCATTCCAAAAATATATCCATATGTCAAATTTGAGTTGAATGTGTAATACTGTTGGGGAGATAATAAACGGAAACTGAAAATTTCATATTATTTTTAAAGTGAAAGGGGCATAACTCTGCCAAAAATCATCGAACCATGACCAAATTTGAACTTGACCTGCGCATTCCTTTGACATATCCATATGTCAAATTTGAGTTGAATGTGTAATACTGTTGGGGAGATAATAAACGGAAACTGAAAATTTCATATTATTTTCAAAGTAAAAGGGGCATAACTCTGCCAAAAATCATCAAACCATGACCAAATTCGACCTTGACCTGTATTTTCTCATGACATATCCATATGCCAAGTTTGAGTTGAATGTATTGTACCATTGGGGAGATAATGAACGGAAACTGAAAATTTCATATTATTTTCAAAGTAAAAGGGGCATAACTCTGCCAAAAATCATCGAACCATGACCAAATTTGAACTTGACCTGCGTATTCCTTTGACATATCCATATGTCAAGTTTGAGTTGAATTTGTTCTACCATTGGGGAGTTAATGAACGGAAACTGAAAATTTCATATTATTTTCAAAGTAAAAGGGGCATAACTCTGCCAAAAATCATCGAACCATGATCAAATTTGAACTTGACCTGTATTTTCTCATGACATATCCATATGTCAAGTTTGAGATGAATGTGTTGTACCGTTGGGGAGATAATGAATGGAAACTGAAAATTTCATATTATTTTCAAAGTAAAAGGGGCATAACTCTGCCAAAAATCATCGAACCATGACCAATTTCGGACTTGACCTGTATTTTCTCATGACATATCTATATGTCAAATTTGAGTTCAATATGTGCAACGGTTATTAAGATAATGAATGGAAACTGATGATGACGGAAGGACAGAATGACGGAACAGGGTAACACTATATGCCCTTGCCATTATATGGCGGGGGCATAAAAAAAGATGCTTGCTGTATTGTAAATTCATTAACATTTTTGACAGATAATATGGCTGTATGTAAATGGTTGTTTTCAATATAACCCAAGTCGCTTTTTCCAAACAACCCTTTTTTTATATCAGGCCAAATAACCTGACAGAAATAGTAAATAATAACCAATAGTATTTATAAAACCCGTAAGCAAAAATTACCCCTAGTTTTTAAGAATTTTTCTTAAAGGGACACCACTGAGATTTTTTTCCACATGACAGGGTTTGAAATATTTTTCTGAAATTTGTGTACCATTTGATCAAATGAGCTGCGTCATGACAAAACCAACATAATGGGTTTGCGACCAGCATGGATCCAGACCAGCCTGCGCTTCCACACAGTCTGATCAGGATCCATGCTGTTCCCTATCAGTTTCTCTACTTGTTATAGGGTTTGTAAGCGAACAGCATGGATCCTGATCAGACTGCGCGGATGCGCAGGCTGGTCTGGATCCATGCTGGTTGCAAACCCATTATGTTGGTTTTGTCGTGATGCGGCTCAAATCATTTCCTCACTCTGTTGTATCAAAGCTATTGTTTTTATTGTGGAAAATTACTCAAAATATGTAAAGCATTGCAATTCTTTTGACTCAAACAGGCCAAGAATTTCACACAAAAATTTTCAATTCCAGTTTAATTCTTGGCATATTTCTTTATTATCCTTTATGGAATTTTTTTTTTTCATTTTGCTTCACTTAATTTGTGCACAAATTTCAAACTTTATGCTTTAAGACATTTTGACCTCAGTGGAGCACCTTAAAAACTAAAGAGCTAAAAATAATTGATACATATCCAGATGCTTAATTTTAGCATTTTAATTCTAGAATTCCTAGCAGTAATAATTGCCATTATCCAAAATTAATATGTTTTAACAACAATCTGTATGTATAAAAATATAAAAAAAAAGTAAATGTAAAACACTTACTAAAATAAATAGTACCACCCATTCAGTACTGTTTAGAATAAAAAAAAAAACACACAAATTAATTTTCCTTTTATACACTTGATCACAGTTAAGTGTTGATAGTTAATATCTGACAAAATTAAGCTAATCCAGCTTATCAGGATAATTTGAGAACACAGTTTGTTCATTAAAAAGATAACTGAAATAGTATAATGAAAATCTAAAGTATCGTCACATAGCAACACATTTGTATCTAATTATAAAAGTCCATTAAGGTCCAAGTGTCAGGCTATGTAATAGCTTTATTTATTTCTAAATGAACAAAGTTTAACATAAATTAAACCAGATGTAAAACATTGAAGTAAAAAGTTTATCTAAGACTGAAAACAAATACAGATTGTGGTACATAAATAAACAAGATATAAAAATGTGAAGTGGAAAGTAAATCTAAGATCTAAGATAGGAAAAAAAAAATTGTGACACATATTAGTGTGGCTTTGATAAGTCAAACTTATATTTAAATGTTTTGCTGCATGATTTACTACATAGGATTTATTTAAATCTTCTTTAGACAGAAAAAATATTGAAATCTAACTTAAGAAAAATTATCTATAAAAAGTAATTTTTAGCATTTTAATTCTAAAAATTCCTATCAATAACCATTTTCCAAAATTGATATTATGTTAGTTAACAACAAGCTTTTAATAGCATAAAATAAGTAACCACTTACCAAAATGATTGCCACCCAATCAGTACTGTTTAGAATAAAAAAGAACACAAATCAATTTTCCTTTTTTACACTTGATCACAGTTAAATTAAGTGTTGATAGTTAATATCTGACAACATAAAGCTAATTAAGCTTATCAGGATAATTTGTGAACATAGTCTGTTCATTAAAAAGATAACTGAAATAGTATAATGAAAATCTAAAGTATCGTGACATAGCAACACATTTGTATCTAATTATAAAAGTCCATTAAGGTCCAAGTGTCAGGCTATGTAATGTACATAACCTACTATAGCAGACTGCTTATGCTGTCATCTGATGTGGAACTAAATCCTGGACCAGGAACTTTGGAGGATACGCAACTGATACTAAATGCTATACAGGAAGTTAAAACTGATTTAAAAATTGTATCAAAGGATATTGTAGAAATTAAATCTGAGCTGTCTTTGAAAGATGATACGTATTTATACAATCAGGAAACAAATCGGCGGGATTGAAAAGCTACAGGACCACTTTGATAGTAAACTGGAGATTTTTGATGAAAAACTAAATGCACTACAATATGAGTATGATACAGTTAATAATGACTTAAAAGAACTATCACTTCATGATGATATTAATTGTGAACATTGGAACTGGATGGAGAAGCAGATCACCATTATGGAATCTGAACGGTAAACAGAAAAAGGGATCGAGTGAGAGTACACTTTGCATATTTAGCCCCGCCTATAAATTTAGCACGAATTTCTGATAAAGCATTATCATCCTGATTAAAATAGACTTAATCTATGGAAATCATCAGCGTCACTGTGAAATAATGCATATGCTTAATACCCCTAATAAATTTATGCATATGTCTAGAAAATGGAAACAGGCTTTAAGCTGCAGGACATACAACTGTACAATAATGGTTTTTCATTCATATGCCTAATTTAATCAGCAAATGAACCTATGTTAGGATATCAAGTAAGATTATTATAAGATCATCTGAATGCACATGTACACAATGTATACTTATGATCATGAAAGATATATGAGGAATCACATTATAAGAGGACCAGAGATCATCTGCAGGAACATATACTAGTTTTGATAGAAGATCCATGAGAGGTTAATGTAAGATGATGTAAATATACATTACTAGTGATGGAATACATATGAAGAAGGGTCATTTGGTCTTTAAGGTGTATAAACACTGTAGTTCTTAAAGAACATATGTTAGGGGAATACATATAAACATTTTTATTATGGAACAGATATAAGGGTATCTCGTAAGATGCCCAGGGGATTATCTAGATGTACATATACTATAGTTTTCATGGAACAGAAATAAGGGGATCACGTTAGATTACAAGATCATCTGGATGTACATAAACGTTTTTTTATTACATATCAGATGTAAGGGGATCAAACAAATCAATGACCAAGGGATCATCTAGATGTACATATACTATAGTTTTCATTGAACAGAAATAAGGGGATCACGTAAGATGACCAGGTGACATCTAGATGTATATACTCTTTTTCATTCTGGAACATAATATGAGGGGATCAAATAAATGACAAGGGGATCATCTATATGTACATAAACTCTTTTTTATTATGGAACAGATGTAAGGAGATCATGTAAGAATACAAGGGAATATGTAGATGTACATATACTATAGTATTCATTGAAAAGAATGAAGGGATCACGTGAGATGATAAGGGGATCACGTAGATGACAAGGGGATCATGTAGATGTACATTTAATATAGTTTTAATTGAACAGAAAGAAATAAGGGGCCCACGTACGATGACCAGGGGATCATTTAGATGTACATACTCTTTTTCATTATGGAACAGATATGAGGGTATCGCGTAAAATGACAAGGGGATCACCTACATGTTCAATACTATAGTTTTCTTTAAAAAGAAATAAGGGGGTCACGTATCATAACCAGGTGATCATCTAGATGTACATATAATATTTCTTATTTTGGAACAAATACATCGTTTAACGGGATCAAGTAAGATGACAAGGGTATCATCTAGATGTACATATACTATAGTATTCATTGAACAGAAATAAGGGGATCACGTAAAATGACCAGGGGATCATCTAGATGTACATATACTATAGTATTCATTGAACAGAAATAAGGGGGTCACGTAAGATGACCAGGGGATCATCTAGATGTACATATACTATAGTATTCATTGAACAGAAATAAGGGGATCACGTAAGATAACCAGGGGATCATCTAGATGTACATATTCTATAGTATTCATTGAACAGAAATAAGGGGATCACGTAAGATAACCAGGGGATCATCTAGATGTACATATACTATAGTATTCATTGAACAGAAATAAGGGGATCACGTAAGATAACCAGGGGATCATCTAGATGTACATATGCTATAGTATTCATTGATAGAAATAAAAGGATCACGTAAGATGACCAGTGGATCATCTAGATGAACACATACTTTAGTTTTCATTAAACAGAAAGAAATAAGGAGATCAGATAAGACGACCAGGAGATCATCTATGTGTACATACTCTTTTTCATTAAGGAACAGATACGAGGGTATTGCGTAAAATGGAAAGGGGGTCATGTAGATGTACATATTCTATTTCTTATTATGGAACAGATACATTTAATAAAGGGATCATGTAAGATGACAAGGGTATCGTCTAGATGTACATATACCATAATTTTCATTGAAAAGAAATAATGGGATCACGTAAGATGACCAGGGGAACATCTAGATGTACATATGCTATGGTATTCATTGAACAGAAATAAAAGGATCACGTAAGATGACCAGCAGATCATCTAAATGAACACACACTTTAGTTTTCATAAAACAGAAAGAAATAAAGAGATCAAATAAGACGACCAGGGGATCATATATGTGTACATTCTCTTTTTCTTATGGAAAAGATACAAGGGAATCGCGTAAAATGACAAGGGGATCATGTAGATGTACATATTCTATTTTCTTATAATGGAACAGATACATTTAATAAAGGGATCACGTAAGATGACAAGGGTATCATCTAGATGTACATATACTATAGTATTCATTAAACAGAAATAAGGGGGTCACGTAAGATGACCAGCGGTGCATCTAAATAAACACATACTTAAGTTTTCATTAAAGAGAAAGAAATTAGGGGATCAGGTTAGACGACCAGGAGATCATATAGATGTACGTACTCTTTTTCATAATGCACCATATATGAGGGGATCGCGTAAAATGACAAGGGGATCATGTAGATGTACACATACTATAGTTTTCATTGAACAGAAATTAGGGGATCACGTAACATTACAAGGGATTATCTAGATATACATTTACACTTTTTTCATTATGGAACAGATCACATAAAAAGATCAGGGGATTATCTAGATGCAAATATACAGTAACTATAGTTTTCATTGAACAGAAATAATGAAATCACTTAAGATTACTAGAATTTATCTAGATATACATAAACTCTTTTTCATTATGGAACATATGCTAGAGGATCACGTAAAATGACCAGGGTATCGTCTAGATGTGCATATACTATAGCATTCATTGAACAGAAATAAGGGGATCATGTTAAATGACCAGGGGATCATCTAGATGTACATATACTATAGTTTTCATTGAACAGAAATAAGGGGATCAGGTTAGAATACATGGATATCATGTAGATGTACATTTTCTTTTTCATTTTTGAACAGATATGATGGGATCACGTAAAATGACCAGGGGATCATCTAGAGTAGATGTACAAATACTATAGTTTTCATTGAACAGAAATAAAGGAATCACGTATGATTACAAGGGGATCATGTAGATGTTCATATACTTTTTTATAATAAGGAACATATATAAAGGAATCACGTAAAATGACGAGAGGATCATCTAGATGTACTATAGTTTTCATTGAGCAGAAATAAGTGGATCACGTAAGATTATCACGACGTTCCAGCTTTACTGGTGGAGTGCGACTTCAGGTACCCTTCCGTGCATTATTTCAGGCACGAACGGGCACCTGATAAGAACCACCGACGTTCCATAAGCAAGCTGGATAGCTTCATCACATGAAAGAATCCAAAAGTCCATGTCAGGATTCGAACCCCAAAGCGGTGAGGGGCAAGTGGTTTGAAGTCAACGACCTTAAAAACACTTGGCCACGGACGCTAATAGTATTTATACATCTAGATGATCATCTGGTTATACTTACGCGATCCCTTGCTTCTGTTCAATGAAAGCTATAGTATAATTATGTACATCAAGATGATAACCTGATCCTTTTACGCGATCCCCTCATAATCTGTTCCATAATGAAAAAGAGTATGTACACAAAGATGGCCGACGTACCTGATCTCCTTATTTCTTTCTGTTCAATAAAAACTATACTATGTGTTCATCTAGATGATCCGCTGGTCATCTTATGTGATCCCCTTATTTATGGTCAATAAAAACTATGACATATGTAAAATTAGATGATCCCTTGGTCATCTTAAGTTATCTCCTTGTATCTGTTCAATGCAAAATATAGTATATGTACATCTAGATGGCTCACTGGTCATCTGACGTGATCCCCTTATATCTGTTCAATGAAAAGTACGGTATATGTACACCATGATGATTCCCTGGCCAACCTCGTGATCACCTGATATATGTTCAATGAAAACTATAGTATATTTACATCTATATGACCCACTTGCCATATTACGTGATCTCCTTTTATCTGTTCAATGAATACTATAGAATGTGTACATCTAAATGATCCCCTGGTCCGATTACAAGGTACCCACATATCCTTCCACAATTAGAAAGAGTACATGTAGATGATCCCCTGGTCATCTTATGTGATCCCCTTTTATCTGTTCAATGAATCTGATAGTATGTGCACATCTAGAAGATCCCCTTGTCATCTTACGAGATCCCCTGATATATGTTCAATGAATCTTATACTGTATGCACATCTAGACGATCTCCTGGTCATCTTACGTGATCCCCATATTTCTGTTCAATAAAAACTATAGCATATGTAAAATTAGATGTTCCCCTGGTCATCTAACGTTATCCTCTTATATCCCTTCCAAAAAAAGAAAGAGGACATGTATATCTAGATGATCCCCTTGTCATCTAACGTGATCGGTATCCCTTTATTTCTGTTCAATGAATATTATATTTATTATATTTTTATATTTTAATCATCTAGATGTACACGTACATATGTAGATGATCCCCTGCTCATCTCACGTGATCCCTTTATTTCTGTTCAATGAATGCTATAGTATATGTACATATAGACGATCCCTTTTTCATTTTACGTGATCTCCTTAGATCTGTTCAATGAATACTATAGTATATGTAAATCTGAATGATCCCCTGGTCAGCTTACATTATCCCCATTTATCTGCTCCAAAATATGAAAGCATATAAGTACGTCTAAATGACCCCCATGTCATCTTACCTGATCCCTTTAGTTCTGTTCAATGGATACTATAGTAAATTTTGATATAGTTGAACCCCTTTTTATCTTTCGTGATCTCCATGTATCCGTCCCATAATTAGAAAGAGTATATGTACATGTAGATGATCCCCTGGTCATCTTATGTGATCCCCTTATATCTGTTCAATGAATCTTACAGTATATGCACATCTAGATGATCCCC